TATAGAAATGAAAATTTTTAATAGTAAGGGACATTTGAATTATGTCCTCACAAATAATTTAGGGACCCATCTTTAGTGGTGACTGAGTAAATGACATCTTAAGGATGTTGTACTGCTTGTTTTTTGAAAAACTGATTGACAAGTATAGCAGACAGGAAGTCCAGGATATCTTTCTGTATTTTTATCAAAAAAAGGCCAAACTGATGATGTAATTTTTGGTCCTCGCTGAGTTTGATTGAAAGATCGTGCTGTTGAATGACTGGATTCAAATGATGTAATATTACTTGTTGATTCTTTTGGCAAAATATCTTCATTATTATTCAGATCATCAATTGTAAATTCTTTATCATTATCACTCATTTTTAATCGAAAAATTAAAGAAAAAGAATTTGATATTTAACCAATTGGATTGTTTATACATTTTTATTGGATAATCGATAAAATTTTTTTTTATTATTTTATAAACCGGTTTAAACCGGTTTAATTTTTGCAGACCGAAAACTGATAAAACCAGTTTAAAAGACCAGTTTTAAACCGGTTTTAACAGACTGAACCCATCCCTAACTTTAGTATACCACATTGGTTCATTTATACAAAATGTCTTCCTGCTACTAGTTCTCCATCCATATCTTTCTTCTGAGATAGGAAGATATATGACAAATTGGTGGTAACTGTGAGATACAGCTCATCAACTCTGAAGAAATTGTAAAGAAACGAATCTTAAAGAAAACTGTGAAAACTTTATTCAGTATTGAAGGTATTTACAGCAATAGACTGTCTGTAATTCAGGAATCCAAAGTCTAATAAAGAGAATACCAGTGGTAAAAGATTCAGATAAATTATCAAACGTTTGAACAAATTAACTATTTGCATGATCAGTTACACTTAAACAATCCAGAATTAACTAAAGAGACCCTTCAACAAAGACAACCAGATGAATCCTGTACTGTTTGCTTTCCTCCTATCAAAAATTACAATCTTTATTTTATCTATTTTTGGAATTGGTTTTATATTACCTTTCCTGCTTCCCAATATTCGTTTAGAACCTATTATTATTTCGTTCAATATATCAGTAACTTCTTTCCCCATATTAATAGAATAGAACAGCTAGTTCTATCTATAAGATACTCTGAACCTGTGCACCTTGACAGAATTGTTGAAGAAACTTTCGAAGCATTTAATATTTATTATAATTTCGTTTTTGACCCTGCAGATAATGATATTATTGAACCTTTCTCTTCTCTTAATATCCCCTTTACTACACAACCTATTGATAACAATTTATTTGAAGATACAAGTTCTAATTCGTCTGAACACATTTTAAATACTCCTATTATTATTTCTAATAACCTCCTTATTAATTATTTATTCAGTCATGAAGATTTAAATTTAGATTTACTATTTCAAGAAAATAATCCAGCAAATACAATGGCAAATGCACAAACTGTACTTGACTACTTGAAGGCCAATAATAATAATCAAATCATTCGAATAGAACCCTTCTTTGGAGATGGAACTCAAGACCCTTTAATCTGGTTTTCTGTCTTTACTAAAGCAAGCCAAATAAATGGGTGGAAATAAACAAAAAAAAATGCAGATGCTAGCTGTCCATCTCCAGGATAAAGCTGAAGACTGATGAACCGAATATGTCACTGATAAAGGAACTGACTATACTAGAGATAAAGATGGGTCCCTAAATTATTTGTGAGGACATAATTCAAATGTCCCTTACTATTAAAAATTTTCATTTCTATATTAAGGAATAAAAAAAAACTACCTACAAAGGTTCTTTATAGTTTTAAGCATCTATACAAATAATTTCTGGAATTATGTTCCTATTGAAATAAAGAGCTAGAAATTATGTCCTCTAGGGGACGTGGACGTAAAGGGACGTAAATTTTATATGCTAAATACTTTAGGGACCCATCTTTAACTAGAGATTCTATAGGCCAGGAGATCTCAAAACAGCATTCAAAGAAAAATTCTATACTCAATGATGGCAAAACAAATGGCTTAAAGACTTAGAAGAAAGAAGACAAGGCCATTCCAAATCTGTGGATTCCTACTACATATATTTTAAAAAGCTTATTAAATGAGTAGATCTTGAAGAGAATATGTCAGACCTCCAGAAACTTCATCATTTTCTCAGAGGACTGAGACCTGAAGTTGCTTCTCTTGTAGCTATGACTGCATCCACGAATATTGATGCAGTATTACAACTTGCCCAACAATATGAAAACAGTCAAGATCTTATCAATTATAAACAACCTACTAGAGCCAGAACAGAAAAGACTTTTGAATTTAAAAACAAAGAAGTTTCTTGAGATCCCATGAATGAACTTGTTCAGAAGTTTGAAAAGATACATCTCAAGTTCACAGAACAAATTGAAAATCTGAATTTGAAAATTGAAAAAAAGAATAAACCATATTTTTGACCCAATACTACACCAACACCAGGAGTATATATACCTGGAAATGATATAAGGGTCTGTTTTAAATGTGGACAGGCAGAACATATAGCTTGATATTATCTTTCAGAGAAGAATTCATATGCTCAACCTCAATATCAACAACCTCAACAATCACAACAATTCAAGAAAAATAAATGTATAAATTATATTACTGTGGAAGAAACTTTTGAAGAAATAGAATCCAGTGATAAAGAAGAACAGCTGGTTTATGTGGAACAAAAAGAAAGACCTAAACCATACAATACCAATTGGAAAGAACAAAAAGAAAAAGTCAAACGATCAGAATCAGCAAAAGAATTTAACCTACTATTAAGAAAGAATACTGTCCAACCAATGGAAGTAGAAGATCCATTCATCCATTATCAACCTCCTCCAGTTCAACCCACTTCTTCTTAAACAAAGAAACTGAAAATGAAGTCTTAACCATCCATGATAGACCAACTTATACCATATGATATTTCGGAAGATATTCTCAAGTTATAGTCAATTGCCACTGTAGAACAGATGCTTCAATATCCAAACCAACGAAAGAATCTTGTTAAAATTCTCAAGAAATTAAAGAATGCAGCAGAAACAAACTATCTACAATCAGAAAACGATGCCAGAAAGACTTTATCAGTGAAATGTTATATGAGAATCAAAAGAAATCCAATAATTGTCATTCTTGATTCAGGAGTTGCAGTCAGTATCATTATGAATAAACTGATATATAAGTTAGAATTGGAACCAGATACTCTATTCAAAACTATTGTAATCACTGCAAATGGAAACAGAGTCTGTGCATTGGGTCAAATTACAAAAGCTTAAATTTGTATTCAAGATTTGATCATCCCAATCAAGCTGCAAATCATTGAATCACAAGAAAAACTCTTCTTTTAAGAATTGATTGGTTCCAAAAGATGAAGGCCAAGTGGAATTTTAATACCCAAATCCTCCAGATCCAATATTATAACAAAACTATCAAAATTGCAACAACTCACTTCACTGATAAAACACCTTAGTATATCACAAATTCAGAAAATAGTAATGATGAACTGGAAGAAATCAAATATAATAATGAAGAACTAGAAGAACAAGAGACCTATTACTCTGACCATACTAAAAGAAACGAGAAATATGAAGAAAAAGAAGATCTTGAACCTCAAATTGAAGAAAACCCAGCGATCTATCTCTCTGATCACATGATCGATCAAGAACCATCCCAAGAGATCAGCATATTATCGTCTGAACAACAAGAAACAGTTGATCAAATAATCAAGAAAAATGAAGATGTGTTTGTAGAACATATTTCAAAAGAAGAACAAACCCAAGACCTAGGAAGAACTTCAGTAATCACATATTTCATTAATACTGGAAATGCCAAACTGTAACAAATTTACAGAAGTCCGACTAAACCCCGATTTTCTCCTCAAAGTCAGATAACAACCTCTTAAACGCTCTTAAGAGACTATAGGTATTTTGATGAGAAAAACATCTTTTATTATTGGTTAGAAAGACATTGTCAATACCGATTTCTCGATAATCAAGGATTCTTACCTCTAGCCATATAACACTAATGATTAGACTAAAACACATATACGGAGTCACATGACATCTGCCGATCCCGAAGCTCCGAAGTGACATGAAATCTGAACTTATAGTAATTATTAATTCTAACATAATAGACATAGAAATTACCAATTAACATGTGTTATTAATTACTGTTTGACATAAAAGGGTAACAGAATATTATTAATATGTTTGTTTAACATTGTGTTTCATTTATTATATTATTTTATTTCTTTTTCTTTATTATTTTATTAATTATACATATGAGCTTCTGGGAGAACCAATAAGATTATATGTATATTAGTCTTTATGTATTTTTCCTTTAATTATCTTTAGAGTTGTCTGCTCTACTCTTATATTAATAAAGTTTTTCTTAATTAATAATAAACTATTGATAATGACCATGAATTTTTCTTGAACCATTACATTTGATAGCAATGGATTCTTCTTTCATTCCTTTTCTTTTCTTCTTCTTGAATAAATATTCCTCCAGCCAGTTGGGAAATTTGTCAAGGTCAAAGTTTCTTTTTTGCATAATGTTCTTGAAATATTTGTTAATAGTTTCTTGAATTATTTGATAATTATCTTCTATCTGCCTATTTTTATCATATATATTTAAGAGGTCAATTTTTGTATTTAGAGAGCCAAGAGCTTTTTTTGATATAACTTTTAGGCTTGCTATAAAAGGATTCTATTATTTATTTATATTGAATTGAAATTCTTCCAATGATTTTTGTTGGGCTTGGGCTAGGACTTTTCAAATTAAAAGTTTTTTAAGTTTCTTAATTTCAGAAGTAAAAATAGGTCCCTAAATTAAAGACAAAAACATAATTTAAATGTTCCTTACTATTAAAAAAAAACTTTTTTAATAGTAAGAGACATTTAAATTATATTCTTGTCTTTAATTTAAGGATCTATCTTTATTCAGAAGAGGGATATTAGAGTTACCATTAGTTGTGATATATAGTAAGCAAAGTTTTTTTCCTATAAGATAAATGATATTATATTTCTTTTTTTTTTTTTATAGTAGAATGGCATTAGATGCACTGGTTTTTATTGAATCATCAATTTTATACATATATATCAAACATCCTCTATTGTATCACAACAGCTAAATGCTAGCCTATCTACTTTTATTGCTCCAGTGATACAAGTGCCATTCTTGAAATAGGCTCATATTTTTGGGAGAGACCTATCTAGGGGGTGGAAGTCCTACCACTAGTTTTAAACCACCTAACCTACCGGTCCAATTTTGTAAGAGGGCAGTGGGACTGCTAACTATTTCCTAAGGTTACTTATCACATCACACCTTTTCGCTCACACAGCTCATGCTTTGGCTCTTAACCTCTGCCGGATGTGTTCCCTAGTGAATTGCTCCGGTTTTGATCGCTGGTTGGACACTACCAAATCTAGGGGCCATATGGCCAATTGAGGCGTGACTCCTTAAGGGTCTAGTCTATTAGCGACAGACCGACGCTCCTTAATCTCCTAGTAGACAATCCAGATTTCAGACCGGTTGGCTTAGGCTGCCAAATCTAGGGGCATAAATGCCAAGCAGGGCACAACTCCTCACAGAGCCACGGTCAGCCGAACCTTACAAGAATGGTGACGATACAGTGATCTTCTTCAAAGCTTTCTTATTCGACAGTTGGCAGTAAAGGGATTGGCAGCTTGGGATTGGTTAAGATGAAGTACAGCCCAGTCTGTACATCCAAATATATGGATAGTTCTATGGCTCCTTTTGTAGACGATCATCGTAACACCATCTGGACGATCGTCACACCACTACACCTTAATGGGAAGATCACAATCCCAACGCCTGCTGGATCAGCATGTAAAACGGCTTCTTATGGGAAATAGCACATAATTGGTCATGGTGCTAAATACCATATTAATCTATTCAATCGCCTTCACATGGGATTGAACTGGTATCTTGTGATCTGATCTGCGGAGCACTAACCACTGTGCTATGGACCCATAGGTCTAATGATATTATATTTCTTTTTTAGTTTGGAAATAGTGTTATTGATTTTTTGATTTGACTTTTAGGTTTCTTTTTTACATTGGTACAAAGGTTTTTTGAAGCCAGATTAATTTTGGTTTTTTTAATAAATATTGTTCATGGAATTTTTAATAAGATAATGAAGGTCTTTTCAATTGAAGTAATAATTAGGCTTGACTAAGTTTCTATATTTTGAATGAAGTTTTTTATGTTTTCTTTTGAGATGTTTTTGATATCAAATTTGTAAAGAGATTTGGTTTTCTTGAATTCAAAGTAGTCTAGCTTGATTGATACTATATAGTGATCAATTGGAATAATGTTATATTTTTGAACCTTATATCAGACAACTTTGAAGATCAAGTTTCTGAATAGCCAGGCTTGATCAATTTGAGAGACATTAATGAAAGTTATAAATGTATATACTTTTTTGTCAAATTGCTGGCTGATATCTATATAATTGAGAAGAGATTAATAAACTAATTGTTTAATTGGTGAGGTAGCAGCTCCTATTGGTGACAAGTTTTTGGAATATGTATTGAAGTCTTTTAGAATTGCATAGTGAAGTTTGTTCTGAATTACAGTTTAAGCTGCTTGGTAGAGTTATTTAACTACAATTTTTTTCTGTCTAATCATATAATAGATAGACTGCCATAACAAAGATATTAATTTTTCTTTTGAATTTAAGTAATATTAAGATGCAGTATTCTGAGCAGCTGATAATACTATATATGTATACAGTTAAGTTGTTTCTAATGAGTATTGTTCTATTCTTTGCAGATGTTTTGAAGTTTCTATATATTACTAATCTGCTATTAATATTTTTAGGATAATAGTCTTCTTGCTTAAGTTTAGTTTTTGTATAGAATAAAATGGATTTGTCATTGATATTATTTGCTAGGATCTTAAGCTTGAAGATATTATTTAAGTCTTTTGTGTTAATACAGTAGTTATAAATGTGATTAGATTTTTAGATATGTTTAATTTGGATTCTTATATAGTGATTTTAACTGAAAGTTTATAGTTGTAAGTATAAAAAGAAAAAGAAGGAGTATTGATATTGTTGAATTAAGTAGTTAAGTTGGAAATGTGATTGATATCATTTGAAAATAGAAGTTGAAAATAAGTATAAAGGAGAACAGATAGATTTCTGTATATAGTTAAAGAGTTATAAATAAGAATTTTTATATTTATAATTATTTATTCTAAAAATGGAATGAGATTAAACTCTAGTTCAAGGAGTATCTCTTTAATAATGCAAGAGTCAGGGAGTCTAGAAAATGAGAATATTTAATATAGTTGGAAAATAATTGTTAAGAATGTATCATTATTAATTAAGAGAAACTTAAAGATTATTAAGCTTTTTTTCTCTAAAATTTTATTGATTTCTGCTAAATCTTTTGAAAGATCAATCTTCTAAAACTCTTTGAAACTCATAATGGTTATGGAGAACTTTGATCTTTTCTTTAAATTGAGTGTTGCTATAAAAAAGTTGTTCAATTTTTAGATCTAGATTGATATCACTAAACCTATGTAAAAGTTTTGGTTTGTTGGTTTGAGGGATTTCTAAATTAATTCAAATTGCTTCTAGGAGAAGCAAGAAATAATAATCAGATCTCAAGCATTTAATTAGAAATTGGATATTATGATAATTTGTGATAGAAATTTGTATTTTTAATTTATGTCTGTGACAATTGATAGTATATGGAAATTCTAGGAGGGTTTCTAGATTTAAAGAAGTTAGAAGGAAATTATTTAAAGAAGTATTTGAATTTAAGGTTTTAACTACTTATTGATACTATGTACAATAGTGTTTAATAAAAAGAATTGGAAGAATTCTGGTTTCAATTGGATAGAAGAGGATGGGAAAGGAATTTTTAATGGTGGAAGATCAAAATATGTTGGAAAAATTTTGAAGGAAACAATAAAAAACCTTTTTAGTTCTTTGATTATATCTTTCAGGTTTCTGAGATCTTTCCTTTTCTTAATTGAAAAAAGATAAAAAATTTCTTTAGAAAGATTTAATGGATCATTTGATAAGTCTGGGAGTATTGTGAAATAAAAATCAATAAGAAAATTGAATTTATAAAGAAGTAATATGATCTTGCTATACTTGCAGTGGTACTTTTGTTGATAATAAGAATTCTATAAGGAATCTTGGCCTTTACTTGTAGAGATATTAGATTTGGAGAAGAGAGTAGCTCTGGCAAGTTGTCTCGAAACATTTTTTTGCACTTATAAAAAAGATTATAATAATTTAATTTGCTGCTCTCCCTAGGATAGTACAGGTAATTGCAATTATACTTTACAATTTATGCTAAGAGATATGGGTTGAGATCAAATATATTAAAGTATCTTAAATAAGTAATGAATAGGCTAGTATTTAGAAGAAGTTTAATTTTGGATCTAACTTTTTTATTAAGCTTAATAACTTTGTATTTTTCTTTGTAAATTTTTTGAAATCTACCTTCAAGTTTTTTATATTTTTTTTGATAATCCTCTTTAAGTTCTGTGGTTTTGCTAAATCTGAAAAAACCTTTGTTTCTTGCTTCTATTTTGATAAAATAGCTAGATAAGATTTTTGTCTGACTTTATCTTTTGGCTGTTAATTGATATCTAGCAAAAGATTGATGAGCTTATCAAGGTTATTTTTTATGGAAGAGAATTTAAAGATCCACCAGATAATACAATAATATTCAGTAATAAGTTCAGAAGAAATTATGAGATCTTTTTCTTTTATTAGTATTTATAGTTATTATAGTTTTCTATTCCTAAGGATTTTAAAATAAGATTTTCCTTATAGATCTATAGTCTTTTGATGGCAGTTTTAACCTTTCTTTATTGGTTGTTAGGTTTTTATACTCAAATTGTTAATAAGATTTTTGTAACTTTGAACAAATAGGTAAAAAGGACCATAACATTAAGATAATAGAATTATTGTATTGTTGAAAGTTGATAGTTGTAAGTAAATAATAGTATTGATTGGTGTTTGGATATTGAAGGTATTTTTTTTTTTTGATAAAGGTAAGAGCTTATAATATTTTTTATTTCTATGTCCTCTGGGATAGAAAAGTTTAGATTAATGGATATGAAAAGATTATTTTTTTTTAGTCACCTTGTAAAGAAAAATAATTTTAATTGAATAGTTGATTTTATTGATTTGGATAGTCTGATTATATATTTTTTAACTAATTAGAATTTGATTGGCTAGAAAGTACTATTAATAATAAATTTTAATTGATAATTAAAATGTTAAATAATTGGATCTGGGAGTCCATAAAAAGATTTGTTAATAAATGCAACTCCAAGTTGGTTGGTATATGGAAAGATATTTGATTTGTATTGATAAGCTAATATGTTTTTATAAAAAAGAATGTTTTTATATTTTTTGGATTTAGTTTTGTTCACCTGAATCATATTTCAGGGAATATGTTTGAAATAATGAAATAGTTCCATTCTTTTGTTAAAACCTTTTGAAAGATTTTGTTTCTAAGTTGTCCATTATTAGTAAAGGATTTTTAAAGTGAATTATAAAAATCTTAAAATTCGTTCAAGAAATCCAAAGACTTTTCTTTAAGAATAGATATCTATGCAAGAAGGTTTTCATTATTGTTTATAATCATAAAGTTTATTTGGAATATTGACAAGTTTGGAGAGTTTGGTCTAAAAATGTTGGAGATAGGGATAAGCTACCTGCTGTGATTGTTTTTGAGTAGAAGGATTGTCTGTATTCTAAAAGGTTCTGTAAAAATAATTTTTTTTGTATTTGTTTTGATATATAATAGATATATAGTATTTTGTTCTGTCTATAAGAATTATATCAAGTAGCAAGTTGATAAATTGGGGTTCTAAAGATATTGATTGTTTGATATTATTGTTTGAAAGAATGTTTTGGCTTGATATTATATTGACTAGGGACATACTGTATATTGTTATATTATATTTATTGTTTAAAAATTTATTTACTATATTATTGTTTTAAAATATATAGTTTGGTGACATATTGTTTATGGATTAATTATATATTATTTGAAGACTTGTATTGTTGTTTTTAATAAAATTTATATATTGATTTTGGATAATATTATTTTATTTGACACATGCTATTTTTAGCAGTTGTTAACACATGCTATTTTTAGAAAATAGTTGTTATTTTTAGATATTGTTATTATTGCTAAGTTGGAGGATGTGTTTACATAACTGAGATTTTGAAAAAAATAAATTGATTTTAATTTATTTGCCAGTTGTATATATATTAAGAAAATTGCAACTTTGTTTAGTTGATGGGAAGCTTTAAAACCCTTCTAGCTCTTAAGATAATAATAAGATTATCTGATTTATCAGATAAAATCTGATCTCCTAAAAATTCCTACAATATTAAGAAAGATATTTAACCTAATATTGGCTTGACTGTAGAGGTGATAGTGGGCTTGACTTTCTAAAACCTGATTGTAAATCAGTTTTCTTGCTTTATACTCTTTTGAATACAAGCAAGTATTTGTTTTTTCTATTTGTATTAAAATAAAGAAATGTTAATATATATATTTGTTATACCTTTATTGTTTTATTGCTGTTTTGATATTTGGATGCTATAGACTTATAAAGCTTGAGAGTTTTTGTTAATTAAAGATAACCTTTTAGTTTTCTTGAAAAATATTTTCAAAAAAGAAAATTTGTTATGAATGGAAAAGAGTTTTTTTGAGTTTTAATTAATTGCTTTTATTAAATTATTTAGATTAAATTGTTTATAACAAAAATTGTTAATTGCTATTATTCAAATTTTAATGTAAATATATCAAATTGGCAACTATTGTATAATCATTGTCAAATGTCAAATGATAAAAATTAAATCAAACAATAAATTTTGACATATACTTTTATTAGTAAATTTAAATTAAATTGTTGTAATTTGACAGCTAAATGATATTATTTTGAATCAGTAATACATGTGTTATTTAAATTTATTATCCTATTTATTATACTTTTATCAAAACAATAGTAAAAATATTTTTTTATTTTTTTATATTGTTAAATGGTCAAAAATATATAATATTTAATAGATATTAAAAATATGACTCGGAATATCTATGTAATGCTAGTACATTTTTTTAATAAAATAATAAGAACACAATGCCTTACTTGGAGTAAACCCATCCTTCATGTTTATTTTATAGCCAGACAAAAGGAGCGATAAAGATTATCGTTATATAACAGGATCATGATTTTCTTATTAATTTATCCGAAATTTTAATATACTTTGACATCACTAAATATAATTACGAAACGAAGTTCAAAAAAATAACAAATAAAATGTTCCGGCAAGCCAGATTTGAACTAGCGACCTAGAGATGACAATGTTTGATCACTACAGTCTCCCGCTCTACCAACTGAGCTATTGCCGGTTTTTGTTATGAGAAAGTTTTATTTTTAATTCTTGAATAATAAATGAGGTGTAAAAGATGTGGCTTGTTCACTGTGAGTAAATTTTATTTGATTTAAAGTTAAGGTTGATCCAAGCCCCATTCGACTTTCCACGCCACGTTCCCTTCAAAGTTTAGATGACCGACGCCTATAAATTATGTGGCTGTGCCAAATCTGTCATTATTATATCATTAAGAAATCGTTATATATATTTATTTTAGTCTCATAAATAAACATGGGGGTCTAGCTCAAATGGTAGAGCGTTCGCTTAGCATGCGAAAGGCACGGAGATCGATGCTCCGGTCCTCCAACATACAAGTACTCTTTATTTTTGCATTTTCTAAGAACGAATAAATTTTTCAAATTTTTTAAAATATCTGAAAGCTTTTTTTTTTCAAAAATTGGAAGATAATTACTTTATTGGCAGAGATACAAAATATGCAATTACACGTAAATCTAAAAAAATTTCTTATTATCCCGTTTTGTATGTAGTTTTATTTTAGTAGTTAAAAACACCTTAGTAAAATCAAATAACATGATTCATCAAAGCCTCTAATTTGGACAAATTTTTAAGAACGATAAGTAACTCATAATCGACAACTGCAATAGTAAACATGTTTTAATTCGGCTAAAAATAAAGGTATACTGTAATTTTAAAAGGAATCGATTTATTTTATTAACAAAAATTACATATTTCTCTGATTTTAATATATATATTTTTTGTCAAGCATTAGATGCGAGGAGTTTATTAAACTTAAACTGTTTCAATGATCTATACAGATCTATACAAAGTAAATATTTTAATAACATTTTTAATTAAGAAACGCGAAAAAATAATAGTAATATTTATTTATTCGTAGATCATAAAATCTATTATTATTATTATTAGCTTTTGATTTATATAATTGAGCAAACAATTATAGCAAACTTTTCATTATAGACATACATTATTTAAATTATACTTTTTTATTATAATAAATAAATTTCAAGTTATATTATTAAAAAATTATGATAAAGTTAAGTAGATAAGAAAATTATATTGGATTATCAAATAAATAATTTATGAAAAAACATTTTTTAATATCTTAATAAATTATTATAAATTAAAACAATCAAACAATATTTATATTTTTAAAATTAATATTTTGTAATAAATATTATTTGATAATATTTTTCAAAATTTATATAAAAATTTTAATAAATTAATAAATTTAAGTATTAATATAAATAAAAATTTTTATTTTAAATATATTTAAAAAACAAATTTATTAAAATATTATTTTTATTAATTAATATTATAAATCAATTTATTATCAAATTTATTAATTTATTTATTTAAAAAATTTTATTAAAATTAATATAATAATTTTTTAATTTTTGCTATATTATATATTATATTATCAAAAACTTTCAAGATATTTCAAAATATTTCAAATATTATAAAATATTCTAAAATATTTGAAAACACTTTAGAATTACTTGAAACTTTATAAGCTAAATATCAGATTATATATTAATAAAGAAATTTACAAGATATAACAATAGACTAAACAAATATATTACAAGATTTGACTTGTGAATCTATAACACTATAGTTAGTACTCTACAGATCAGATTATAAAATATCAGTTCAATTCCATATGAAGATAATTAAATTGAATTAATATGATATCTGATATTATAACTAAAGATGGGTTTCTAAAGTATTTAGCATATAAAATTTATATCCCTTTACGTTCACGTCCCCTAGAGGACATAATTCCTAGCTCTTTATTTCAATAGGAACATAATTTCAAAAATAATTTGTATAGATGCTTAAAACTATAAAAAACCTTTGTAGATAGTTTTTTTATATTTCTTAATATAAAAATGAAAATTTTTAATAATAAAAGATATTTGAATTATGTCTTCACAAATAATTTAAGGACCTATCTTTACTTCTATATCTTTATATATGCCGGCTATTGTTTTGTTATGGCTTGTTTTAATTATAGCATATGATATGTCTTGGTATTTAGTATTGGTAATATACATGTCACCACTTTCCTATATTACATTATCTAACCTATAGGTCCAATTTTTATATAAAGGTAGTAAATATTACTAAGTTACTTATCATATTATATCTTTTCACTTATGTAGTAATGTGATAGAAAGGTCTTAATATAAGTATATACTTTCTAGTAAATGTTTTAGTTTTTGTCTACTGATTGGTTTTAACTATTAAATCTAAGGGTTCTTGTGGCCAAGTAAAATATAAATCCTTAAAAATTATATAGATTATGTTAAGCAAGCTTTCAAGTTCTTTTATCTTCTAATAAATATTCCAGTTTGGAACCAGTTGACTTAGGTTATCAAATTTAGGAATATAAATATCAAGCAAGATATAACTCTTATATATATAGTAAGTCATTAGGGGCATGTCACATATAAGGCTTCTAACAGTATCATCACAATATTTGTTTAATATCAGTTTGATATTTAAATTTACTATAAATTTATATAAATGGATAAAGATAAATCCCTAAATTAAAGGTGAGAACATAATTCAAATGTCCTACATTATTAAAAAAGTTTTTTTTTTTAAATATAAGATCAAAAAAAAACTACCTACAAAGGTTTTTTGCAATTTAAGCCACTTGATCCAAATGTTTTTTGAATTATGTTTCTATTAAAATAATGAATAAATAATTATATCCTTTCAAAAAGAACATAATTGATCTGCGAAATTTTATATGCTAAATAATTTAAGGACCTATCTTTATAAGTGGATCACAACCCATATATTAAATTTACTATAGATTAATACTATTTCAATACTACTTCAATATCGGTTCAATACTTTTCAAAGTTCTAATCACATAAAACATTAGTATCAATTCAATGTTCTTCTTCAAAGCATTCTTATTTGATAATCAATAGTAATAGAATTGGTAATTTGAAATTGATTAAGATAAAATATAATCCAATCTGCATATCCAAATATATAGATAAAGATGGGTTTCTAAAGTATTTAGCATATAAAATTTATGTTCCTTTATGTCCACGTTTCCTAGAGAATATAATTTTTAGCTCTTTATTTCAATAGGGACATAATTCCAGAAATGATTTGTATAAATGTTTAAAACTACAAAGAATTTTTGTAGGTAGTTTTTTTTTATTTTTTAATATAGAAATGAAAATTTTTAATAATAAGGGACATTTGAATTATATCCT